CAGTAAAGTGCAGTGAAACACAGTGTACTGGAGTACAGTATAGCAGAGTTCATTAGTTTACAGTGCAGTAAAGTGCAGTGAAACAGTGTACTGGGTACAGTACAACACTTTAGACTGCAACTCAGTAAAGTGTAGTGAAACAGTGTATTAGAGTACAACAAAACAGTACAACTCTTTAGACTACAGCAGAGCAGAATACAGCTCCGTACTGCAGGGAGGAAGACACCTCTCTGCTGTCTCCCCTCTGCGTGTGGCACAGCGTGCCGGGAGCCCTGTTTCTCTCCCCGAAGGGGCCCCTTTCTCCACCGAAGCTGTTTCCCTCAATATACATGGACCATGAGGAGGATGACGACGTCAACTTCGCCAAGTGGATGAGCAGCTTCTGGGGCCACAGCGTGGGGGAGGAGCGCCCCCGGGAGCGCAGGCCGAGCTGGAGACGCTCGTCCAGGCCACCGAGCGACCGCCGCGCCTCTCTGCCCTGCCCGGTGAGTCCTCCCTGCGCAGCCCAGACCCCCCTCCCCTCCGCGCTGTAACAGGTGTTCCGTTTATTAGTTCAGTTCTAAATCATCACGCAAACAAGAGAGGCTCCTAACTCTCACCCTGAAAGGCACATTCCTCAGCTTTCAACAGGCAACGAGCACAGAGTCTCTGCAGGGAGAGGCAAGGCAAGAACTGCAGAGCACAATGAATCTACCACTCAACAAGTGTCAACCGCCAAGGAGAATAAGACACTGCGTTTGTCTTAACGATTCGCCGTTGCTGATGTAGTCGTGCCGACAGTTTGATGCTGCTCAGATGCGTGATGGTTTTGCGAATTGCACATCAATCGGAAAAGGCACTTGATCGCTCCCTGGTGAGGAGTTTCCAGCTGCTATTTGATTCTTCAGTTATAAGAAACAATGCAGCTAATGTGTTAACAAGCTCTGGTGAGTTTTCTAGGCTTCATTTAATTGTTTGCATGGTTGCAGAGAGGAAAGGCAACCTATCACAGAATGCATGAAAGTGCACACAAAAGCTGTCTCTTGCCATTTGGAAAACCAAACTTTAAGATGAACTCACTCACTCTTCCATAGATCAATGTGAACCCAGATTTCACTTCAACCATAAGGTTTGAAAGATTGGAAGATTCAGCTGAAGGCGGCATGGAGCAATCGAAGGCTGGTCTCACCAAAATGCTTTGTGGGTAGTAAGGGCTGACAAGTGACCACCAGCTGGGGCAGACGACTCAGTTGGACTGTCAAGCTGTGCTCTGAAAAGGCAAGGCAGAAGAGCAGTGAGCAGTGAGCAGTGTGTGAAGCGGAAGGGGATATTGTGTAGCGTCTGGGAAAGTGGCAGAGTGTAACAGAAGCGTTCTTTCTGGACCCTATGCAGACGACACAATCCGAGGTAGAGTGAGGAAAACACGGGGGGAAAAAGCATGCAGGAGTCGGGAATGAAAACAGGGGGCGTGTCCAAGGTGTGCAGGTATTCTGGGGGGGTTAATCCAAGGCAAACTGTCCAAAAGGGAGTCCAAAGGGAAATCCAAGACGAGGCACATGTCCAGAGCCGGGCGATCCATCCGAGACGAAGACAAACAGGATTAAAAACCTGAGTGGGATCCGGTGGAAGGTCGGGAGGAAAAAGGGGGGAACAGGACCAGACGCTCCAGGTCCCGGACTCGCCAGGTACAGGAACCAGTGCAGAGTCCGGAACAGGGTGAGCATCTGGCTTTTAAGGTGGGCTGAATGGGAGGCTGGAACAGGGGGAAGGTGCACAATATCAACTCAGAAGTGAAAGAGCCAGAGCGCCCTTAAGGGGGAGGGACTACAGTCGTGACACAGAGTAACTACCTGGTTGTGTGACTATGGTAGGGCTGTGCACAGATCCTGGGCGGCACAGAAGCTCCCTTTGGAAAATCACGTCAAGCTGAAACACAGCTCATGTGGCTATGCTCCATTAAAGTCAATTTGTGATTAATGCCACAGATTTCTTTCTGGCAACCGAGTGCATACAGTACCTGATGACGTACCTGATCTCTGAATCTGATTCACCAACTTACCAGTTGCCGATATGACATGCTCTGGTTGCATCAGTTCTACCTGTCCGTCATTAAGCACACTGGCTATTTAAGACCTGCCGCTGTTCTACTCTGGTGCTCAGTCTTAGTGCTTGGTTACTAGTCTTGGCATTCCCTGTGTCCTTACCTTCCTTATCCTGACTGTGCTTGCTTGACTGTGTGGTTTGTTCTACCTGTGCTTCATTTCCGTTTTTTCTTGGCTTTGAACTTGTCTTTACCCCTTGACTTTGTTTTTTGATTTTCCTTGGTGCCTTATTGTCAACCCCTGCCTGTTCTAAGACTATGACGTTGGACTGTGTTTTTGCCTGCCTGCTTCACCACTGCAACTTGCAATTTACCTGCTCTGGAAACCAGCTTTCAGCCCCTGACGGTTGCACCTTTACTAGAACGTACAGCGCCATGGACAGCTTCCTCTTCCAAAACCAATAGTTTCTAGAGTTATAGTGGTGTGGAGACCAGCCCCACTGTTGCTTTGGCTCCCGGTGAGCACTAGGACCACAGCTTGGCTTTTCTGAAGTTCCCACCATTTTCACAGCTCTGGGATGAGGAAGGATACAAAAATAATGAGATTTGTGTCCCGAGTGATCGCGCTTGGAAGCAACACAAACAAGAAACAAGAAAGCCTCTCTCACTCCGTCCTCCCTGACATTACGTTTTGCACAGTGCCATGCTACCAGGCAATGGGTGTAATACAGGGGTGCCATTTTACCAAGGCCTTAAGGAGAGTTCACCTCCCCCAAACACTTACATGGGCCCCCAAATGCAAGTTTTAAGCTTTGAGGGTGGCCACAACTTTTTTGGAAGTTCAACAAGTGAGCACAGGGCAGACAACTGAGTGAAAGGGAAAATGTGGGGACAGAAGTGGTCCACTAACACAATCTGTAGTCCTCCAACTGTGCATGAAATGACACTCTATGACTGAGGCAGCACATATTGTAGAGTCTCTTCAGCACAGCTTTAGCTAACAGTGGAAACCAAACTATGTTTTGTAGTTAGGGTTACATTTAGGGGCAGGGTGAAGGGGAAGGTTAGAGTCGGGTCTGGAGGACGAGGAAGTCTTTTAAGTGGGCATGGCAGGCACAGAAATAGGAGCAGTGTGTTTTGTAACACATTTAAAACCCCACACTGGCTTGTCAACAGGTCCAGTCACCTGTCAATGGGCCTTAGACGCACTGAAGACAACCTTCAGTGCTGGAGTACTGCATTCCTGAATTCCTCAGCACTAGTTGTTGTTAATTTTCAGTGATGAAACAGTGATTTCACACTGGTGCGTTAATGGGTATCATATAAGCACAGGCAGTGAGTATTTTCTCAGAATCTTGTGCCAATGCTGGGTATGCAGACCAGGGAGATGTCCAAATTCTCTTCCTGGAGAAACTTGAAATGCTACAACAAATAGAGTGATTTCACCCACATGAACATGCCTTACAGGCTTCACAGCCCGAGATACTGACCTACAGGCTGGAAACACAGCCTCAGAGGACCTGTGGATGGTTTTCTTTACTGCATGCATGCTATCATTAATCAGATCACAAGGGAGAAAATAGGAGAAGCCAGGGCCTCGTTATTAATCTAGCTCCTCTAACCTCAGCACTTGGCTCTTTACTCTCACAAGACAAAGGGAGGATTCTGAATAAAGGGACACTGGTCAAAGTCTCACTGTGCTGGACCCTTACCAAGTGTGGTCATTTGCTGTTGTGCTCACCTCAGTTTGCATCTCAACTAATGGCACCATTAGCCAGTCTAATATGACTATAGGAGACATTCCAGAATAAAATAAAACAATCCTATTGGCTAAAGATGTGTCAAACTCACAGTTGATAGAGCTGAAAATAGATTCTATTTACCAAAGAAAGGACATGTTAAAAATATTCTGTGCTCTGAGTGTCTCAAGCTCTAAAGGGCTAATCTGAATACAACAAGTAAGGATTTTTACAAATTATCTTTTTTTTCCATTTGCCCGGTTATTTTCGCGCCTCTCCAGTCACCACCACAACTCATGCGCAGATGCAAACCATGCACAAAACACCCGATCGGCATTTATAAACTGGATGACAACTTTACCAGTTGCTATCATACAGACATAGAGAGCTCCATTATCAGTGGGATGTATAGACCACCATTACTATTCCCAAAGACTATGAACAATAGTGACCAATTAAGAAATATTTTAAAAATTCGCACAAAAATCACAACAGGGTTCAGCCCTCCAGTTCCAGCATTTGCCTATTTACCCATACTATTTGCTTAACCGATCAATTATTATTAATAATGATTGTTTTGAGCTATTCAATGTCTAGAGATTTCAGCTAAAATATTTTATAAATAACTTCCTGCAGAAGAAACATTATTCAAATTATTAGTTACCGAGTACTGAAATCGTAGTTTTTAATACCCAGCCTCACCAGCAGGGGTCAGTGTTTCAACTCATTTTACATATTACCATACAAAGTAAAGAAACGAAGCCGAGGGTTAGAAATGAAAATCATTTTAATAAGACCGTGAGACCAGGAAAGTTTAAAATGCATTTATTTTAAAGAAAGCTCCAGTTTTCGCACGTCTTTTTACAACTAATTGCGAAATTGTAGCTTTTTTCATTTCATATGAACCCTGAATTGATGTATTTGCTAGAGACAACATCGGGCAATTACTTCGTTAATTCGTTTGTAAGTGCTTCTGAATATGGGACTGATTATCCAGTCCTCGAAGGTTTAGATAATGACATTTTACTTTCGCCGTCCGTGGTCCGAAATTACATATTCACACCTGATTTTGAAAAGGTTTTCAAACAAGTATTTCAAGTAGAGTACTTAAATTAACGAGCAAGAGTCGCGTTGAGCTTTCTCGGCTGCAGGGGACAGTTTTAATCAGCGAGTATCAACAGGGAAATCAAAATTGCGCAGCTGTATGTACGTCACGCCAACAGACAATTCAGTCGAAGTTTCTTTATTGGAAATACAGCCGGCCGGATTCCTGGAGAGCCTAGTGCCTTGTTCTAACCTGTTTAATCCATTAAACAATAACCTAATTATTTTCTGACATATATAGCGTGTGACATTTTACGGTTGATTACTTGAAACATTCAACTAATTAAAGCACCGGTCTCTTCTCCAACACCCCGGAGCCTGGTTAGGAGCATTACAATCCTGAATTTAATTTAATAATTGGAGCAGCTATGTCACTGAGATGGCTGGTGGAACAAATCCCAGAAGATACTGGGTTTGAAGCAGAACCTTTCCTTCTACAAGCGTCTTCTCCTGTTTATACAGTAGGTCATCCTCAATCATCCCCGGCTGCAATCCATGTCGCTCAAAAGGACACAGGCATTATTGTGTCCCTCCTGGCTTTTAGTGTGTGGGCTTTTCAAACAGTATAGTGAATGCTAACTAGTGGTTTTTGCTGAGCTCAGTTGCACCCAAGCCCGTTTTGCAAATTTAATAGAATAACAGTAAACCAAGGAAAATTCCCAGAAAGTTAAAGTGCAAAATGTACAAGACTGTGATTAGACCTGTACTACTATATGGAGCTGAATGCTTGGCAGTTGGAAAGAGGGAAGAGAACTTGATGAGAAGAACTGAAATGAGGATGTTGAGATGGATTCTGCAGATTTCAATGAAGGATAAGATCAGAAATGAAGAAATCCGTAGACGATGTAGGGTGGTGGATGTGGTTGAGAAGATGCGAGAGGCGAGGTTACAGTGGTATGGACATATCATGAGGAGGGACGTTGAGGAAGTAACAAAGAGGGTAATGGAATTTGAGGTGGAAGGTAACAGAGGAAGAGGCAGGCCTAGAAAGAGATGAATAGATTGTGTGAGAAAAGATATGGAGGTATGTGAAGTGAGTGAGGAAGATGTGCTTGACAGAGACAAATGGAGAAGAGCAACCAAAGCAGCTGACCCCAGGACAGTCTGGGACTAAGGCTGTGAAAAAGAAGAAGAAGAAGAGAACAGTAAACCAAGGAGCCACAGTACCAATTATTAATCGTGTACTGTAGCTCCAGATTGCTGAGTGACCTCATGATGTTAAATCGCAAGTCTTTTTGTGATTCATCCATGTGGTTTGGTGTTATGGCAAGGCTTGGAATGGAGGTAGAGTCGAAATCTCCCAGAGTGCACCTGTAGCAGTGGCCGTTTTTGCGCGTCCTGATTGGCTGTCTGGTTGTCTCGCTGTGCGCCAGGCCCAGCTTGATGCCATGCACCTGCGGCAGCTCCAGGCAGCCGCCACGACCCCCTCGCCGGGCCACCCAGGGCCTCGGGACGAGAAGGACGTCCGGCCCCACCCGAAAGCCCGCCGCACCTCCTCGACCGACGAGAGTCGACGCAAGTCCTCCGTGCCGGAGAACCACTTCACCCCCATCCGCGAGCTGTCCGAGTCCTTCGAGCGCCGGCTACACTTCCGCAGCAGACATGCCGTGTCTCTGGTGGGTACCGCAGTGTCCCCTCGGGGGAGAGACGGGGACACACCGGGGCGCGGGGTCCCCTCAAGGGGGGAGACTGACACTGCGGCACAGTGTCCCCTCGGGGGAGAGACAGGGACACACCGGGGCGTGGGGTTCTCTCGGGGGAGGGATTGACGCCAGGATGTGGGGTCCTCTCGTGGGGGAAGACTGACACTGGGGCATAGGGTCCCCTGGGGGGTGGGAGACTGACACTGGGGCATGGGGTCCCCTTAGGAGGTGGGGGCGAGACTGACACTGGGGCATGGGGTCCCCTTGGCACAGGGGAGACTGACACTGGGGCATGGGGTCCCCTTGGGGGGGGAGGGAAGACTAACACTGGGGAGTGGGGTCCCCACCGGGACACAGGTGTCGCTGATTGGCTGCTTTACAATTGTCCTGTTCTCTGGTGGGTGAGGTTTTTTAAGGAAAAATCCTACCTGTGTGGTTGTTCGTTCCAACAACTACTAGCACAGGCTCTGGAACAATAGAGAAATACAACATGAGCTAATATTCCGAACAGCCTCCTTCATCTGTGACCTTTCTGAAGCATGGCTCTCGCCTCCCTTTCCTGAAGGGTTTGTCTTCTGAAGACGTCTGTCTAGGGAGGTTAATCTTCACAGGTGGTTGTTGTCCCTGCAGTCTTTTGTATCAATATTCTATTACAGTATTACTGAAATAAGCACCGTAAGTGAGAAATAACTGATTGCTTGAGTGGTAAATCCTGCACGGGAGCTTCAGCCATCGAGATCCATGGTTCTCTTCTCTGCATTCCCTAAATTCTCAATAACCGAAACGGCTGAGCTGTTTACAGGGAAGCAATGCTCTCAGTCCTGGATGCAGTTCTCTAACATACCGCTACGTTAACGTAAGTACCCAGAAAGCCAAGCATGACGAGAGCGTCCTGGCCAGCTGTCCTCTTCCATTCCTGCAGGGGGCGGCCGACGAGCTCTGCGTCATCTGTCATGACGAGCTGAGCACCGGAGGCGTCAGAGAGCTGCAGTGCGCGCACCGCTTCCACAAAGAGGTATGGTGCGCCGTGCCCCTCCCCCACCTGCACGACTGCACTAGTCTGAGCCCGACTGCGGCCCTGCACCTCCCCACCCTGTGATCCTCTCCTGCTGGGACCCTCCTTCACCCAGCCTGGCTCCTGCTCCTGCCCACAGGGCTGAAGAACAGCCCAGTCCCTTGTCTCGCAAACCTGCCAGCATGATTTTCAAAGACTTTTGCTCCAGTGCACAATTGGATGCTTTTTCTCCAACCACATTTTTCTCCAATGTGTGTTTTCTTGCTTCTGAATCGTTTTTTTTCTGCGTCAGAACTTGGGGTTTTGACTCGGGGTAGGAGGGTCAGAAACAGTCCTCAGAATCGCGCGCGTACCCTGCCCATGGTCTAAACCGTTGGCAACCGCTTCCGAGAAAACGATCAGCCGTGACGTTTGAGGGCGAGCGGGTGAGGTAGGCGAGGCAGTGATGTCCGGTGTTTTGAACAGGGGGATGAGCGCCAGGTCAGCCGCCAGCCCTCCCTCCGCCGACAGCGCTGAGCGGGAGAGGGAGGCCCCCGCCCTGCCCCGCCCCTTTTCTTCCCTACAGCCTCCGAGATTCACACAGGCACACAGATCCGGGCAAGAAATTAATCCAAGCCAAAACTGGGTCAACGCAAGCACCGTGTTCTCCTCTCCCCATCTTCCTCGATGTCCTCGAGTAGGATCCACTGGGTCCGGTTCCCTAACGGGACAGACATGCCAAATTTCACCATAATCCGGGGTGCAGGTCGCGCAGTGGAGTGCGGAGGGAAGCTTTGTTCCAGGACCACGGACTCCTTTCTTTCTTCTTCATTAAACAAGCCACAATTCACCTTTCTTTCCTTCCATCCTGCTCGGGACCTTGGCACAGCTTCCTGTGCTACGACAGCTGTCAGTGCTCAGCACTCTTCTCCTGGATCCAGAAAGAACTGAAGTACATAGAATACATGTCTCTGTGCTGGGTGCTTCAGATACAGTTGATCCCAAAACACTTTCTGGACTTTCTGGGGTTTTTTTTAAGAAGTCTTTAAACCGCAAAAAGTGGTCATTCTCCCTGCAGGGCCTGGCTGCCTGTAATCAGCAGTAGATTACTGACCTGCTAATACAGCTTTGGAATATAGGGGCTGGCGATTTGATTGTACAGCTTCCGTGTCAGATACAACATTTGCTTGCCACGTGGTATTGTAATCAGGAAGCAATAATTAAGTTGTATCATTTTAACAAATTTATATTTAAGGTGCCATATAAAACTAGGCCGAAAATCCAGGTGACTCAAGCCAAGTGCATTTTTCTACACTGAGCGAAAACAAACCTGAATAATTCCACACTTTTTAGTTTTCCAGGTCTTCAAATTCTAACACCCGTGTGTCCTCACCTGTCTGAAGGAGGCATGCTAGTTACACACATATTGTACCTTTTCCCACCTCATCTGAAAGAATTTTACCAAACCAGAAATGCATTCAAGAAAGTTATGTTTTGTGAACTCAAGTATGAATATTGACCGATTCAGCATTTTGAGGGTGACTTTACTGTCGTTGGAATAATGGCATGACTTAGATTTTGGGTGAGTCACAAATAAAGGTCAACAACCATCCAAATCTGTAATCTGCTGTTAACCTGAACCTTTTTTACAACAATGGTCATTTAATGGCTGTATTACTTTGTAACGCTTCGTCTTGTTAATGTTATGTACTGAGTAGAGTTGTGTCTGTAGGTTCCCACATTGGCAGCTCTCTTGGGATGTATAAATATTGCAACTGCTGTGTACAATGACAATGAAGTTACTGATGCTGAAAGTGAATAAAATATCGAATTGTGTCAAGAAATCTGAGCCTCTTCTTTTAGGCTGTCCTGGTTAAGCTAAGAGACCTGAGTCATCTCTTGGAATTTCATGTAAGACTGTAACCTAACAATGAAGTATTCAGCAAAAAGGAAAGTGAGATCGATGAAACAGGGATGAGAATAATGGCATATAAAAATGAGATTGTGGATGGGTGTGTTAAGATGGAATCTGTGTCCTTCCACGTTGCAGCCCAATCTGCACTAAATCGTCAGGCCCTTTTCCGTCCTCAGTTCCTATTTATTCTTAAGAAGTGTGCAAGGCAGCTGGCCAGGATGTTTGCGAAGAGCCCATAAAAACTGATTTACGCAACCTGCAGCTCTTTAGCTCTGGATTATGAGAATCCTCCCCCTCAGCTCTGACAGCACGACAGGATTCTCACTGCTGGACATCTCTCAGCATGGATGCCTCCCTCACGACGCCAGGCAGGTCATGTCTAACTTGTGCAATGCTGGTCTCAAGAGGCCAGTGGGAATATGTGAGTTGTCAACTCTATGAAAGGAGGGAAAATGCGTACACTGGACCAGAGGATTGTCCAAATGTATGGGAAGGTGCGGTATGAAACTGGTGCTGGTGAGATATAGTACTGCGCACAAGAGCTTCAATGCTGCTGTAGCTCTATACTTTCTCTTTAGCCAGGGACTAAAAAGACTCTTCTCAAACACCCTTCTTGCATAACAGGAGTTGGATTCAGGTTGGAGAGCAAAAAAATGGAGAAAATGTGGACTCTGCTCTAAGAGTTTTGGGCAGTACAGAGGCTCAGTGGTGAGCAGTGCTCCCTCACAGAGCTGGGCCCCTGGGTTCAATTCTGGGCCTGGAGAAGTATCTGCATGGAGCTTGTATGGTTCTCCATTCTCCCCGTGCTCATGTGGGTTTCCTGTGGGGGCCTTGAGTGTTCTCCCATAGTTTGAAGACCTTGGCTGATTGGCTTCTGGGGAAATTGGCCCTGGTGTGAGTGCATGTGTGTCTGCCCTGCAGCAGACTGGACTCCTCTCACTCTTACTCCCTCGTGATTCTGAATTCGACAAGGCTGGTAGAAAATGGATGGATGGATGCAAGCGTTTTTAAAAACGGGCCCGGTTAATTTAGGCCCCTTGCCATGGCTGAGTAACAGAATCCATAAGGGTGTCAGTGTGCGAAGCTAGAGGCCGTGAAGTCCAGGGAGCAGCTCAGCGGGCGGCCTGGAGCGAGGGAGGGTGGGAACGAGCGCTGCCCCCGCATGACCCTTCCCCCCCCTCTGTGTTTCAGTGCATCGAGCGGTGGCTGTGGAAGAAACAGACGTGCCCCACCTGCCGGGTCCACGTGGTTATGCCACCGCCCTTCTACTGGTCCTCCACCCGCATCAAAGTCCCGTGACCAAAGTCCCTGGCAAGGCCGACGCCCCACGCCTGAACAGCCGTGGAGCCCAGGAACTCTCTCTCAAGTCGGCTGGGCGCTTTGGAGATTGGGAACGCTAGGCATCCGTAGCACCTCCTTCACCGATCCCTTGTTCCCTTGTTCCTTGTTCCCAACCTCTCTCTGTACGTCCACGTTGAAGATGATGGCTAGGAGACCTCACCAAGATGGCGTAGGGCCGAGCAAGATGCCCACCAGGTCAGGGACAGGGGAGGAAGTATAGAGCTTATAGCAGCACTGAAGCACTCGCATGCAGCACTGTATCTCAACAGCCACAGTTTCATACACCACCTTGTCAGATATTTGGACAATCCTCCGGTACAGTGTACGTATTTTTGCTCCTTTCGCAGAGTTTAAAACTCACATATTCCCACTAGCCTCTTGAGACCAGTGTTGCACAAGTTTAACACAAGTTTCGTTCTGCCGCAACAAAACCGGGCACCTCTCAGCTTCAGTGCTGACAGTAGTGTAGCGCTCATGCTTGGGTGACAAAGTCGGACCTTAAGTTGACTGTCCTTAGTGTGATCAGCTGCCAGAAGACTGTAATTTGACTCTTGTTCCCCAGTGAGCAGGGAATGGAGGGCCCTCTGTGTGCTGGTTTGGCACTGCTTGTCTCTACCAGTTCTCTGCCTGCTGCCTACACAGGGGGTGGCAGAGCCAGCAAGTGCACTACCCAGTGTTGGCATCCTGGATTATGATATGAAGCAGCTCCCAGGGATGATTCTGTACAGCAGCGCCTTCTACAGGGTCAGAGTGGTACACCTCTTCCCAGGGACACACCTTCGGGGTGATAAGAGAAAGCATCTTCCAGCAGCACAGTAAAAGCACCCTACTTCACTGGCACTCTCTCCGCCACCCCAGACACCCCAAATACTCAAACCGCCCCTGCAGGCCCCTGCCTGACATCTAGACCCCCCTGGGATGAGGACAGGATGATGAACTCTTCCCTCCCTTTCCTTTAGTGATGCAGCCTCCAAATTCCTGCAAGTCACCCCAAGCAGCAATCATTACTACGTCTTCATGAATGCTGGAGCGAAGTACTGCATGTCTGCATTGTCTTGTTATGATTTCTGGATCATCTTTGTGCTCTGCAGTCTCCTGCTGTATGGCTGCAGTAGAGCTGCCTACTGTGTGTCTGGATCTGGGAGGATCTGGGAGTTTGTCACACCTGATGAAAAACAGGAATAAATTCAGTGTGCTGATTGACATGCGTCTTCTTCTTGGAATCATCTTCCCAACAGAAGTCACTTACTTTATCATCACTGGCTGTTGTTTCCTGCTTTCTTAGCTTGTTTTTCCAAGCTTTCGGCTTTTTGTGAGAACAAAGCTTGCCTCGCGAGGGTCTTGACGCCAACCAGGAGCCAGTCAGGTTTGTTGACTCGCCCTGCAGTCATTGTGCTGGGCCCTTCCAAGGCAGAAGGAAGGGCTTTCCTTCCAACTTCATGGAAAAATCAACAGACAGCACAGGAGCGGAGTCTGGTTTACATCAGGAACGCCACAGTTCCCCTGTGTTGTTTCCGGGAGATTCTTGAGCCAAGTGTGCCAAGAATCAAGCCAATTGTTGAGTGGGTGAGTAACATGAGCTCAGCCACTCCTCCTTTCCGGGGGGTTGTGGATTTAGGTGCTATCCCCCTTTCACTGAGGTTTTCAAGAGACAATAATTCCGGGTCTCTTTTCCTTTAGACCCTGTACAGGCCAGCCAATACAGGATACCGGTCCCTCACACACAGTGTGAAACAAGACAGTGGCTTTAAAGGTGGCTTCTCAAAGCGCTTTACAGAATGAGAACAACAATAATAAAAAGAACACACAAGATAAAACACTACATTACAGTACACAGAAGAGACCGTGGCTGGTGGTACTAAGTACAGTAGGAGCAGAAGGGTAAAGCATGGAACCGGTTAAGTAAAGGATCTTCTAAAGAAGAAGGTTTTGAGTCTGGATTTGAAGGAGTTTAGAGAAGGTGACTCTCTGGTATCGTTGGGGAGAGAGTTCCAGAGCTTGGGGGCATAACGGCAGAAGGCCCTGTCACCCATAGACAATAGACGTGCTTGGGGGACAGTTAGGAGACCAGAATTAGAAGAGTGAAGGTTGCGAGGTGGGGAGTAGGGCGATAATAGTTCAGACAGGTACTGAGGTTCCAAGCCATGCAGAGCCTTATAAGTGAGCATGAGGATTTTAAAGTCCACACGGAATTTGACAGGAAGCCAGTGCAAGGACTCCAGGATAGGAGTAATGTGAACACTTGTACTGGACCTGGTCAGGATTCTGGCTGCTGAATTTGGGACATATTGCAGTTTGTTCAATGGAGATTTAGATACCCAAGCAAGTAGAGCATTACAGAAGTCAATTCAGGAAAACACAAATGTGTCGATCAGCTTTTCAACCACAGTTAGTGATAACATAGGGCATAGTCTAGTGATATTTCTGAGGTGAAAAAAAGATGCTTAGACAATATGCTGTACATGTGGGTCAAATGTTAAGCCAGAATTGAATATCACCCCAGGGTTTTACAATTTAGACTAAATTAGAATGGGGACAAGACCCAGGTAGATGATTTGGAATAGAACTGTCTTCCTAAAGGGATGGGCAGTTTGACAGAAATATGGGGTGGGGTTTTCTGACTGAAGGATACACTTTTTTTTGGCAGTCCTTCAAAAAGGCATCTGGGATCCCTATCTTATCACTTACCCATGAGCAGGATGGCTAGGTTCCCTACAAGCTGTTCTGGTGATGTGGCCCTGTGGATGGATGGACTTTTGCATATGAAGTCTGCACAACATACTGTAACACCAGTTCCTGGGCAGGGGAGGTTGGAGAAGCTCTTACAACTAGTTCAAGTCGAAGAATACAAATTCAGTTAAAGCAAGGGCACGCGTCTGTGAGAGGTCTACGTCTCAGGCAAATGCTGGATCCTGCTCTTCTCTTCCCTGTCAAAGACGGGCTTCGGTACAGCACAAAGCGTCAGCCCCTGTGAAGTTCAGTGGAGGTCTGTGCTGCTCTCTGCGTGGACACGGTGAGGTGACCTTGTGGCATTGGTATCCTCCTGTTGAAAAGCTGCAGATGACAGTATGGATCAGTTTGCTTAATGGGCTGCCCGTCTGCTGCTGTCATCGAGCGGCCAACGATTTTACGTCGTGAGAATGCACGACACAAAGAGGGGAGAGATAGAGAACGAAAAATTGATCGCATCACATACACGCGCCCCCCTAGGCTAGCTGTAAACATCACGGCAGCCTCTCTGTTTTGAGACGTGCTGGCTATTACTGGCTTTATTTCTGTATTCTTTACGTTATGTGCGAATTAAAGTCCAACTACAGGCCACAGCTGTCTTAAAAAAACAGGAGGATGAGCGTTGCTGCGCTTGTCCCATGTTGATGAATCCACTAACTGTGTTCTCCACTGCAATCTGAGACCTCATAAAGCTTCTCTAGCACTAATTGCGTCACTGGCACGACAGAGAACAGTGCCTGGTGCTTTTGTAGGAGCCTCGAGCCACAGAAGACGTCATTAGTCTTGTTGTGTCACACAATAAAAGTGGCAGAATCCAAAAATGTTAGCCCTGTAATCTCTATGCAGTACGTAACTTATAGTAAAAACTTCAAAAATCGAAGAACTGGTTTCTGTTTAGAAAATGTTTAAAGCGAGCCAACATTTGCAGAAAGAACATATTCATGTATTTACTCAAATATCTGGGAATGTAGTGAAATTCCTTGACCTTATTGTACCGTACAATGAATCCCATTGTATTTTCCATACATACCTGTAGCTACACTATGACCGAATGTACAAATAAGCACTTCGATTGTAATACGAATTCTCTTACTGGTCGTTTCTGATCACAAAATTAGTTCGTTTGATTTTATTGTTGACAGAAAAAATCAGTATTTTTAACGCTGAGTGTGTTTTACCGGTATACCCACAATGAACCCTACAGCTAAATCTGCACTGAATTAGTTATGCAGTAGGTACGATCTGAGAGCTTCACCAGGCTTCGCGTTACATAGAGAGACGATAATTCAACGTGGTAACACCGCCGGCAGCACATGCAAGTGAAGGTGAGACTGGGTCAGCAGGAAAACTACACACAGCTGTTCACGTTGGAGGCGGACTGTCTCCTCTCCTTGAGTGCGCTGGGAGTTTCTGTCTGGCTCCGGCGGTTCAGGAGACATCGGCTTTGAGAATCGCCGTGACTTACTGCACGTAGGGAAGTTTGAAACCCGTCCCTCCCTCTCTCACATCCTGGCATCTGGAATTCGGGGGAAACCCTTTCCCTAAAAAATACACAAGAACGTCAAATAGGATTGCGGGTCACACCCACCCCTGAAAAACAAACACATTTTGTAAGTAAATAACCCATTTTAAACGCGCACTGAGGCAGACACGACAGGACAAAGTTTTAATTTGCGTCACCATCCCGGACGCAAAGGGACAAGTAGAGATTAATCCCGCGCTGAAAAAGCAGCGGGAAAGGCACAACATTTTTACAAAAATGTACTCTACTTATAATATCGGCCCTTGCTCATAAACATATCCAGGGAGAGGAAATCAAAACACTAATTTCCAAAAAGTACAGCCTACCTCCCGAAGAGAATAATTCACGTACTGTATAATCCGCGGCAGAATCATTTCACACCTCTACCGAGCCACTGGGGAATATGTGCTAATGAGTACACAACTCACATAAAGAGATTTAACATCAGACGGAAACATATCTCCCAAAGTTCATCATTACACAACCTCTAAGAGTCACGCAACTGTGTAACTAGAAAACACAAAACGTGATAATGACGTGGCTTGTCTAACATTTTTTTTGGGCTGCTTCGGAAAAATATAAAGAAAATATGTAAATTAGCTCCCATAAAATGCCGCTGCCTGTAGCTTATATTAAAATACCCCATGATTATATGAAACATTATATTAAAATGTCCAATTATTCGATCATTCTAAACCATAGATACTATCACAAAACCAGAATTTTAAAATGTGTAAGGGCTTTGTTTTTGGATATAAAAGAAAATGAAAGAAGGACGGCTCAGAGGCACAAAGTCGATATGTATTTTTACACAGCGCCTTCAAAAGCCCTTGACAGGATTCCGGACTTCCTTCACCCAGTAAATAAACCGTATTGAAGTAGCGGGTCTGCGGCGCTCCCTCCCCATCCGCAAGTCTGAATAAACACTCACAGTCCCTCGACCGGCCGACAGGCGGAGCAAAACTGCACACGTGGAATCGGGCCCATAGAGCTGACAGGCGAGGGTCTCAACGAATCACAGCTCCACTCAGTGACATCTTTCTGCGCTCCTTCTCCAATCGCGGTGCCCGTAGGATGGACTAGTTAAAAAAAAAAGACAAAAAAAAAAACTCCTTGGGGACAGAAGACTTGTTACAAAAGATTTCGTGCAGTAGTAGCAGTTAGGCGCACCTTTGATACACTGTAAATGAACCCTCCGTAGCATTGGCTCTCAATTGATTTAATTCATTTTGCTCCAAAGGGAGAACCAGAGGCCAGGTTTGGTAAGGTTTTGCTGCGGGAACCTCAGGACATCGGTCTTAGAAGTTTGAGAGGATGCTAGTAGCAAGAGAGAAGTTCTCGCCCTGAAGAGCTCACAGCTGTGTTTGAAGAAAGAAATCATCTGTTTATCTTCCGAAGAGAAGAGAGGGTTTCGGTGCATCACCACGCGAAGACCGAAAAGGTAAACAGATCATTGTGATTGAATTATTATAATACTATAAATCGCAATTTCATGTACAAACCAGTAATGTATTGTTACCTGGGAAATGGTTTGGCTCGGATTTTAAAGAAGAGCAAAATAATCTCTATCCACCCTCTGTCTATAGTTTCCAATATGGAAAATAACCGGAGTTTTACAGAAAAACTCCAGGTCTTAGGTTTATATAGGGAATTGGTACATTTCTATATGAAAGCTATGCGTTATTTTCATAAGGTATATTTAATAGTGTAGCCGATTATACCAATTAAACAAGAAAACGTCTGAAAAAACTAACGGCGTGTAAACGTTCTGTATACCCTGCCACTGTACAGTAAATACTTCGACCCATTGCTGTGTCTGTTAAAGTGCTTGGAAAACGAGATTTCAGTGGCCCGAGGCGATATTAACATCAGGTTAACAGCAATAATAACTGATGGGTCATCTACTGTACATTATATATATGTCAAATAAATCACGATAAATAACATCACGTTAAGGTTCTGCAACTTGTATTGTATGGTAGAATGCTTTGAAATGGAGGAGAATCAACTATCTTTTTTTTTTTCCAGTTGTTAAGCAGTATTACTGCCGGATACTTTTTTTTATGATACACCTCATGCACGGACAATCCAGAGGCTGTTCATTTTGTTCGGCTTCAGCTTTGAGTGATCAAGTAAAAAAATCTATCGTTAAGCGGTTTCATAAACGCGCAGGGAAGTTCAGACCTTTCGACACTTTCCGATCGTCTCTGCGAAGTTCAAAAAAAATGACTGACCTTAAGACCCAATAAACTTTACGGCTCTGTAAAAATAATTTAAAGCTATCAATACCAGAGCAAAGCATGTAATGTGAGAGTAAAGAGTTTGTTTGGCGTTTGTTTTATCGAGCTTGTATACTGCAGGTTTGTGTGGATTCTCGCCTGCGGCTGGAAAGCGGCTGCCGTGCGCTATAGCACACCGGGTTAGGAGCCTATAGTCGGGTTTGGCTCCAGCTTAGAGCAGCTTGTTCAAACCACACTGTACATACACGTAACACACAAGGATCCGCAGTAATGTGAACCAGCACCACCGTTATTATGATAATCATCATCATCCTCATGTAAGTCATTAACCGTCAGAACATACGATGTACGTGCGTTACGTGAGAGAACAAATTCGCCAATGATCCTGTCGAATTGTCTACTTTTGGGAGGACAAGAGACATAATTGTAAAAGTATAGCTTTATTAATGCGTTCTCTGCCTACTGTCAAATAACTTTTTTTAAACGATGCCTTAGCAATAATGTTGCGCTTTAGAGAATTATCCATCGTACGATTGTTGTCCTTTTCTGTGGTTTGCATACCCACACCTGTTCATATAGGAAAACGTACAGCAGATCGAAAAACCGAGAAGGCGATTTTCTGATCTCTGCTTTTTTTAAACGCTATTATAAATCACATTGTCAGTGTCATCATCTTCATAGTAGTGGGATAAAAGTGATAATGCACATTACAATGGAAACACTTTAAAACACAAAACATATGACAATGTACTTGATTAGGCCCTTGTTTATAATGGTAAGCCTGGTGATTTTTTTTCTCTCTCTAGTAGTATGTTGGCCCAAAATGTGCTCCGGTGGCCGGTAAGATTCACAAAGCAGTCTTTTTACCCGACATCAAACCTACCCAGCTAAGTATTATCATCTTATGCATGGTCTTAGTAATGAGTAACGATGGACTCGTTTAGCCCTCCTATCATTTGTTGGCATCAAAGGTGTTTTTATATCAAACTATCTTTATCTTGCACCACGTTAGGCAGAAATCTCACAATAAGGCCTGGATTCTGAGAGGTGCACATGGCAACCCAGAGCCGTGCCTGTTGCTTTGTCCTTGTACAGATATACTGTTCCTTTTGCAAACGGTTGACCGCTGTGGCTGTTATGGACTGTTATAGCATGCTTTAACAGCCCGTGGTGTGTTACAAACTTGAGAAGCATACAATACAATAGTCATATTTTTTAAACTTGCACTTAGTATTACATTTTCATTCAGTACAGTAATACAGTTAAAATAATAATCACAGTACTATTCCTTTCTTGGGCCATCATAATCTTAAAGGGGTAACCTGATCTTGTTGTGTGAATTATTAAAGATAATCACTTTCTGCATGATTTAGATTAGTACAGTATGAAGCCATCCAGGATGTGTTTTGCTGTGGCTGAAACCTTTGAGGTCACCGTCTTCTAAAACCTTTTGTTCTTAACTGCGATTTTGCTTCATTTAGTCCTCTGCAATCGCTTCTCTTCTTCGCCTTGTTCTCGGTGTTTTACGTGAATTGATGCTGGAAGTCTGTCCCTGTCTAATTTAAACTTCGTTTAACTGCCAGACCATATTTAGGAATAATAGGGAGTCATTGGGATTACTCCAGTCAAGACACCCACTATCCATGCCTGGCAGATCCCAGTTCAACAGAATACCTATCACAATGTACAGTAAGTGCTGATGGAATGCTTTGTTTTAAATGCGCTTGAATAACATCTCTGTTAAGATATAGGATGTTAGTGAGAACCATACCTATTGACTTTCCAGACACCTGTTTCAGAAAGCAGAATCAACTGCACAGTGACAATGGTATTTGCCCCATTGTTTTGGGGTTGAGTTCCTCAATGCATCACTGCTAGATTTTTCCCTGACTGATTAGAGGCTAACAGCAAAAAAGGCTGCTGTTTCGTATTGAAGTGGCATTCTGACAGCAAGGGCTTATGTATGATGCCTTAGGATGGATGAGGATGTGCTGTAGTGCAACTGTGTGGCAGCTGCCCTGGAGAATATCCCTCATTCCTCTCTCTTCAGACACCCTCCCCCCTCTCCAGTACGAAGCAGCTCTGACTTCACAACACAGAAACATGTGTTCTGTCTCTATGGCAACCTGAGGGGCTTTGTGCTGTGCATCCTGGTCTGTGCTGTAGGTAGAGGACAGGGGATGTCACCTCAGCCATACGGACTGCACTGCCCCAATACCAGGGAAGGAATCTCACTAAGGATACTCACACAGACTCTGAATTTGAGGACGTGCTCAACTTAGCAGTTAACAGAGGAAAATGAATTCCTCTGCTTCTTGTACAGCTGAAGACATGAATTTTCTGGCGTGGCAGGTTATCGTAGTCAGTCCCCTAGGAGGCTTGTGTTGCTGCTCAGACCCTGAAATTGTAGAACTGAACAATCGGCATCATGGGATATCAGTTGCACAAAGACAGCAAACAATACCAAGTCACATTCCTGTATGGAATTCCTGTGTGGAGTGACCTCCACAACCTCTTTGGACTGATCCTGGACAGAAACCCTTGAGGTATTTCCATGCAGAAAACACAGGCTGGACAGGAATTCTGGAAAAGTTGAACCTTGACTGAGAGCTTGGCTAAAATACTGGATGTCTACAGTCATTTACAGTGTTACGAGGACTCCCAGAGATCTGCAGGCCTTCCTGTCAAAACTCCTGGACAGTACTGAGCCTGCAGCAATGCTCCGCCTGGCTCTGAGCCCTGGTGTGTTGTCTTCACTCCCTTGCTGATAACCAACAAAGTCCTGCACCCTGCTTTGGAAATGATGGGGTCATTACGGGGTCATTAAGGGCAGGAGTATCATAAAAGAACAAGAACTTTGGAACACAACTGCAATAAAACCAGTATTAATATTTCCTTTCTAGTCACATTTATCCAGGGCTAGGTTGGAGCAGTGTGCTGTATTACGGACCACTGTGGTGACAAATTCTGAGGAAATGTCACCACAAAGATCATCAACAGATGACATGTTGGTACATCCTCCAGCCTGCTTTCATGCTGTGCGGATTTTGACGTGGTGGGAGAACAGTAAACATTGGAATGAGAGACCATGGGAAGTCCTCACAAACACGAGCTTGTCTGTGTGCGCCTAACTGTGGGACAAAGTGTCACATTTAATGACTTAAGCAACAATATGTGTTTCTCTACATTTATAACCGTTTAACCAACCATAAAAGGTAGCTTTTGGGTCAAGACTTGGGATTGTAAGTGCAGGATGATGTAACGCACTGTGTTGTCTTGCAGAGTGTACACAATTACACAGTGAGCAATTGTGAACTAATCCTTCATACTGGAAAATACAGAGACACTGCTGTGATGCAGTCCTGTCACTGTAAAACAATTTTGTGATGTGGATTTTCTGTAACCAGTGCTCTGTATTAAATTCTAAATCTTACCCAGAATCTCAACAATTCTGCATATCCTTTTGTTCAAGGTGGGGGTCTAAGGCGGCCAAGATATTTTCAATGTCAGGTGTGACAAAATCAAACGACGAATCCTGAGAGTTCATGGAATTAAGAGAGCCTGTTTTTAACACTTGAGTGCTGTCTGTGCAATTTGGAAATTCCACCAGTGGCTGTATTGTGAAGAGGTCACAAGAGCACCACCTGAAATGTGGAGGTGCTTTTTAACTTTTAGTGTGCAGTACTGGGCACCTAGCAGATTGCGAACGAGGCTGGACAAGCCTTTGACCGAGAAACCAGGCTGTGCCAAGGATATCAGAGTGAAAGTTGGAGACAGCAGTACCAAGCTCTGCCTGGCCCCCTGCTGGAGGTGGCAGGTTAATCATTAAGCCAAATAGTAGTGATGTCCCCAGAGGAGGTAAACTGGGTAGGACAGAGACAGGACAGCAATACAGTCCCCTCCAGAAGTACAGGGGCAGCAAAGCCAAAATAGTAATTGTTGCTTTACAGTCTAGTGTTTGCATTTGTGTTCATGAGCTTAATATGAATGATAAGCACAAGTACATTCTTTTCTTGAGTAATTCCACACATACATTTGATCCTAGTGGAACACAAACATACTTTTGTCTAAGTCCATTAGTGACCATAAATATTGGGGCACCTACTGTGTGTATTTTATATACATTAAAGAGATACATTAAAGAGTGTAAAAGTCAAAATAATTGTCTGCGGGCCAGTGAATTCACCCAGTTCTTTTTGTAACCATCTGAATTGCTGCCCCTTTAAGTTCTTGCCTGGTCTTGGAGTGCTCTGACTGCAGTGTTTGTCTCCATGTCAAATGTATGCTCAGTTGTGTTTTTAACAGGAAATTGACTGAAAAACCAATCAGTGGCATTTGGTGAAGGAAACTCATTTCACTTTGATTTTTGAGGAGGTCACTATCAGCGACTCTTCGTTATTCTGTGTGAAGGGTGGTCATTATCAGGAGCTACATGACCTAAAAGGTGACAGACTAGGTCCCAAGGGAGCCTGAGTGTTGTATTCCTTCTATCTTCAGTTTCTGGATGAGGAGTGTATCCTCAGGTCACAGACTAGGATTATCAGTAGAAAATGCTGGCAGCGCGATGCCAGGGAGAGTAAGCAACAGGGTTGGCACCTCCAGATGTGGAACCAGATGTGTCGCTGGCAGCACTTAGCAACTGGCTGGGTAACAGGTTCACCCAGGGCAGTCAGAATCATCAAACAGCTTTTTAATTCTGCAGAGTCACTGCAAATTAAATGGCAGTCCACACTTGAGCCTGGCAGCTTTATCAGTTCAGAGCATATCCCAGTCTTCTTAGTGGACTGGGAGTATGGCACTCCCTTCTGGAAAGTAACACTGTCCTACAGTACCTGTGTCTTTGTCATACAGCACTGTGAACTGCAGCAATCGTGGTGAATTACCTTGCTTAAGGTGACAACACTGGTGTCTGAAGGGAGAAATAGGAGTCAAGTGCTCTGCACTGTTTTTTTATATAAAACAGAACCTACTCTAATTTGACTACATTGTTCTACATACCCAATTCACCCTGGCCATGATCTGGGTTCTGGAAGAAGGTATCGCAGTATCAGAACACTGACCAATAGATTCAAAAACAGTTTCTTCCCCCAAGCAGTCCGCATCTTAAACAGCTCAAATTATCACCTGCACAAATTAGCACCTGAACTTTAAGGTACTGCACTGTTTGCACTATGTCCTGTCTTGTCTATTGTCTAATTTTATTGTCCATGTCTGTTTGTCATTGGTGGGATTTTTTTCCCTAATGTTACTGGGTACAGCTGAACGAGTAAGCATCCCTATGCACTTGTTGTATATGGCAAATAAAGGCATCTTGAATCTTGGAATCTCTTCTGTAACAGCCAGCAGTGGCCCTCTGTGATGCACAGGGCCGAGTTCCTGCGGCAACGACCAGGATGGGGTGTGTTTTGTTTTTTTTCTGTCTGCTCACTGTTGCTCCTGAGGCTCTGTCTGGGCCGAGCATCAAGGCTGTTCATTCTGCGCCTGCCCTCTGTGTAAGGGGGAATGGCGCTGACAGTCTGTGAGCTTCTGTATGCGCAGATGTTTTCCTCACCTCATAGTCCTTGTTGCACCATGGGGCTGAGAATCACCTCCGCCCTGGGATCATCGGGGTGACCTGCTCCTCTGCCTTGATCATGGCTGCTCTGTGTGTTTCACCTTTCCTTTGTGCCTCCCTGGCCTCGTGCCATAAATGTGCACCTGCAGAAGAGAAAGCTCAGTGGCCCTGATTATGCAAGCTTTTCTGTCCTCATTTGTCCGCTCATTATTAATGGGATGCACGCAGCGCTTGAAAGATTGAGGGATGCCACAATGGGATCAAAAGAGATCTATTAAAAAACGAGGAGGAGAGGAAGAGAAAGTGGGGTAGACAGGTCCTTCTGTCTATCCCCCTCGCCTCTGTACATTCTTCTTGACGTCTGCATACTTAAATCTTAGTGTTCGGGAGCTGCTGAAAACAATTAAAGAGACCAGTTAAGTCTATTAAGGGTTCAGTGATTTCACTGAGTGCTCAGGGGTGTGGGACTGCAGGAGCAGGGCTGGGAATCTGCTATGAGCTGCAGTAGTGTGTGAGTCTGTCAAGACCTTGGATGTATGGCGTTGTGGCAGGCGCTAGTTCCGAAATCCATCCATCCATTTTCTAACTGTGTTTTTCAATTCAGGGTAGCAGGGGAGCCAGAGCTTATCCCGGCAAGCAGTGAGTGTCAGGCAGGGTACACCCTGGAAGGGACGCCAGTCCATCACAAGGCACACACAGACACAATAGAGCACACTCGCTCACATCGGAGAGACAATTTTCCCAGAAGTCAATTGACCTACCAGTATGTCTTTGGACTGTGAGAGGAAACCGGGGCACCTGGATTAAACCCAGTTGAGCACGGGGAGAATATACATACAGATAGCACCCCAGGACTGTAATTGAACCCAGGGCCCCAGCACTGTGTGAACTATGCCACACTCAACCCCAAAATGAAGTGTGCAGCAGATACCAGAGGTCACCATGCAGTTGTGGGCACTAAGAAACCGCAGTTTGTACAGTTTGCTCCTGCTCTGGGGTCCCTGTGCAGACAGGCAGTGTTGACCATGTCTCTCAGGAGAAGCAGGAGCAGCTGTGACATGATGTCTGAGAGAGAGCCGGAGACCTTCCAAATGTAAATAAGCTCCAAACTTTAGAAAACAACCCAGCTCCGTAACCCCTTCCACCAGAAAACTAAAAGGAAAACCTACACCTTCCCTCAGTTCTTGCAACCCTGTGAAGAGAACACAGCCCCCTGCCCCACAGGAAGCAGAATGCTGCCTCTGCTCAGTCGTTTCACTTCTCGGATGCTAAGAGCAAATGCAGCCTGCTGCTGCTCTCTGTGTGTAAATGTGAAAGCATCACTATGTGCTTTGTGAGCGGACTGCACCCGCTGTGTGGGCCGTGTGGCTGCAATGCTGCAGTCAGCGGGGTGTACAGAGTGGGGTGACCCCCTTGTCTTCGTTCCAGGTGCCGTGAGCCACGATGGGCAACTTCAAGGGTCACGCCTTGCCTGGCAGCTTCTTCCTGATCGCAGGGCTGTGGTGGACAGTGAAGTCCTCGCTCTGGCACACTACCAGACGCAACAAGAGCACAGTGCCCCTGGCCAGCAGGGCCGTGCAGCGCCGCCTGGAGGTCATTGAGGCGGCTGTCATCCTGGCCTTTGCCCTGATTGGTGAGTCCCAGGGGCCACAGGGGCCTCCGAATAACATTGAGCCAGCATCGGGCTGTATTGAAAATAAATAGCACAATACAGGACCAGAATTTACGTCAATATCTTCTGTTTGTTCAACCTTATGGGTTTTGCAGTTTTTCTTTTAACAAAGAAATCCAAAATGAAGATACTGATTCCACTCCAGAAATGGTTGCCTTGCCTACTGCCAGTCCATCTGCAGCACTGTCAATGTGGCACAGACAGGTGTAGCACAGTTCTGGTTCTGTGCAGCTGGCTCATTCTCCTTTTTGATTGCATTTGTAGCAGTTGTCTCCTGTTTGTCCCAGGCTGATGTCCTTGTCTCGGTAGCTTGATGATAATGTTTATTTCAGTAAGGGAAATGGGGCTTTGTAAAATCCTGTGACTCTGGAAAGAATATAAACAACACTTTGATTGACCTGATTTACTTTTTGGCAAAACATGATGTGCATGTCTGAATGTGACCCTGCGGCAGCTCTTCTGTA